CAACAGCCCCCCGTCTTTTTTTTGGCCTGGGGGCTCCAGCCCTGGACGCAGCACTGCAGATGTGGGCTCACAAGAGCAGAGCAGAGGGGGACCATCACCTCCTGTCCCTGCTGGCCACCCTTCTGCTGATGGAACCCAGGATCCCATTTGCTTTCCGAGCTGCAGGAGCACACAGCTGCCTCATGTTAAGCTTTTCATCTATCAAAACCCCAATGTCCTTCTCCACGGGGCTGCTCCCAAAGCAGGGGGGGGATATTTTAGGAGTGGGTGCAGCTGCTGTCCTCACCTGTGAGGTTGTGTGTCTCCTCCAGCGCTGTGCTGAGCAGTGTGGATATGTGGCTCTGCTCCTGCCTCAGCTCCTCCAGCTGCTTCAGAGCCGGCTGCAACTCATCCCTTCCCTCTGCAACGGGGAGAAAAGATAAATAAATTAAAAAAATAATAATGATAAAAAAAATCAGGTTTTGCTCAAATAAACACATTTTATCTCCCTTCCTCTTTTTCTCAGCTGGCCCTGCGTTTTCCCTGCTCTCTAAACTGCAGCCGCAGAAACCTCAAAGACTTTCAATGAAGGAACTTTTGCTGCGTTTATCGATGCGTTGAAGAAGGCTTTTTCTTTGTTTGGCGTTTTGTTTTTTCCTCCTGTCCATATCACGCTTAGCGACACCTCAAACTCCTCAAGACCACCAGCCAACAGGTTTTTAGGAACCTTCGGGGCCCCTTCTCGACACAAACGTGGATTTGTGTTGAGGAGAATGACTGAATTTCATCATTTCCCCCCAAAGCCAGGCTCTCACCCAGGGCTCGCATGCGATCCCGCAGCTCCTTCCCACACTCTGCTCTGCACTGGGCCATCTTCTGCTGCACCTCCTCCAATTCTTGTGACACTGCAAGGAGGAAATCTTGGTTTTCGGCCACTGCCTGCACCTGATTTTCAGTGCTGAGGTTCTGGTTGAATTTTCCCCCCCTCCTTGTTTTTCCACCTTCCCATGGTTGTACCGTTCAGAAGGCGGCTGTGAATCGCCCGGAGCTCGGCTGAGAGCTGCATATCTACAAAGAAAATGAGAGGAGAAATCAAAGCGAGCCCGTGGGCCATCTCCAACCTGATGGATTTGCTGGGAAGAGCAGCCCTGGGAGCAACAGTTTCCATACCCAGGGTGTGCTGGACCTCTGAGAGGTTGTGCCAGGCTGTGGTGTGGCTCTGCTGGTCCCGCAGCTGCGCTCGCTCCAGTTCTTCCCGCACTGCAGATACTGGGGAGAGGAGCAGAGAGTTTGCCTTCACTCCAAATCCATCATTTTGTGCTCTTCAAAGACCCCCTTCCAACCCAACCCAACCCGTTCCATGGTTCTGTAAGCCTTAAGGATCCGTCCAACGCAGCCCATTACTTGATTTCGTGGTTCTGTGACCTTTAAGATCCCTTCCAACCCAACCCATACAGGATACCATGGTTCTATGACCTTTAAGATCCCTTCCAACTCAACCCATTACTTGATTCCACGGTTCTATGACCTTTAAGATCCCTTCCAGCCCAACCCAGTACTTGATTCCACGGTTCTATGACCTTTAAGATCCCTTCCAACCCAACCCGTTACCTGATTCCATGGTTCTATGACCTTTAAGATCCCTTCCAACCCAACCCATTACCTGATTCCATGGTTCTGTGACCTTTAAGATCCCTTCCAGCCCAACCCGTTCCAGGATTCCATGGTTCTGTGACCTTTAAGATCCTTTCCAACCCAACCCATTACTTGATTCCATGGTTCTGTGACCTTTAAGATCCCTTCCAGCCCAACCCATTCTAGAATTCCATGGTTCTGTGACCTTTAAGATCCCTTCCAACGCAACCCGTTACCTGATTCCATAGTTCTGTGACCTTTAAGATCCCTTCCAACCTAACCCAATCTAGGATTCTATAGTTCTGTGACCTTAAGATCCCTTCCAACCCAACCCATTCTAGAATTCCATGGTTCTGTGACCTTTAAGATCCCTTCCAACCCAACCCATTACTTGATTCCATAGTTCTGTGACCTTTAAGATCCCTTCCAACCCAACCCAATCTAGGATTCCATGGTTCTATGACCTTTAAGATCCCTTCCAACCCAACCCATTACTTGATTCCATGGTTCTATGGCCTTTAAGATCCCTTCCAACCCAACCCATTCTAGGATTCTGTGGTTCTATGACCTTTATGATCCCCTCCATCCCAACCCATTCTAGGATTCCATGGTTCTATGACCTTTAAGATCCATCCCAAGCCATTCCATGGTTCTATGGTCTTTAGAAGCACTTTCCAACTCAATCGTAGGATTCCATGGCTCTATCATCTTTAAGATCCCTTCCAATCCACCCCACTATTTGATTCCACGGTTCTATAATATTTAAGATCACTTCCAACTAAAGCCATTCTAGGATTCCACGACTTTCTGATATTTAAGGTCCTTTTCTAACCCAAATCACTCCATGACTCTATGATCCTTAAGGTCCTTTCCAACCCAACCCATTCAATCATTCTATGGTTCTAAGATCTTTGAGGTTCCTTCCAAACCAACTCATTTTAGATTTCTACAGTACCATGACCTTTAAAGTTCTTCCACTGCAAACCATTCTATGGATTCCATGATTCTATGATCTTTAAGGACTCTTCCAACCCAAGACATTCTACCATGCCAAGGTTCATTCGATCTTTCTACAATCTTTAAGGTTCCCCTTGGATCCAACCCATCCTACAGTTCCGTGATCTTTAAGGACCTTTCCAACCCAATCCATTCTATCATTCCATGGTTCTCTGTTCTGTGAGGTTCCTTCCAAACCAACTCATTTTCAGATTCTGTGGTTCTATGACCTTTATAGTCCCTTCCAAACCAAGACACGCTACGATTTTACGATCTTTAAGATCCCTTTCCATTCAGTCCCATTTCAGGATTCTATGATTCTATGAAATGGTGCCCACAAGGTGGTGGGAATGTGAGCACGGTGCTGATCTCACCTCTTCGGATGTTCGCAATGGTAAGAGCCAAGAGGAACACAAAGCTGAGGGCCAGCAGCAGGGCCAGCAGCACAACAGCTCTTTGTGGGGACGAGGGCAGGAGTGACAGCACTGCTGGGGACAAAAGGAAATAAAGAGTGAAACAGCCCCCCAAAAAATCTTCTCCAACACAACTTTAGGAGGAGAGGAGCATTACGAGGTGAGATCTCACCAAAAGAACTGCCCAAGCAGCTCCACTGCCACATTCCCCACACTCAAACCTTGTTTTTCCTTTTGATAACAACCCAGCAGAAAAATCACGAGACAAAATTTAGCTCTAATTTTGTTGAAAGATCCCTGCCAAGAGCTGGAAGCCTCCAGTTTTGTTGCTTCTGGGCTCCTGGTACCTCTTTTGGGTGTTTTCCTCGGGGTTTGGTCCTCCAGCAGCATGTCCTTGGTGAGCTCCCAGTTCTCACAGGTGCCATCAGCACCAACGTTCTGTGCCATCTCTGATCCTTCTTTCCCAAAATCTCTCCAAATTTATGAGGCTGGGAAAACACGTCAACTCTTCCGGGGGAAGTGAAATGTTCACGTTTCACCATTCTCATTTCCAGAGAAAAAAAAAAAAAAAAGAAAGAAAAAAAAAAAAAGCCCACAAAACCAACCAACGACAACAAAAGAAAACCCACAACTCAATGACAAATGTGCAAACTCAGGAATTTTCACAGCAGCTGACGCACTCGTGAAGCCTCTGGCCATGTGCCACAGCCCCTCCTTTGCTGATTTTTAGGAGAAATAGCTAAAAAACCACACCGCTCCCCACAAGTGAAGCCAACACTTCTCCGAAGTCGGTGGTTTTTTCTGGAAGTTTTAGACCAAAACAACTGGTGTTCTCTGACGCTTGCAGCCAGACTCAGCTGTATTTTCTTCTGTACGAGGGTGGGTTCTGTCTTAGGGTTGGGTGAGAACTTCTCATCCTTATCACTGCGTGTCATGAAAATCCTCCTTAGGACGGTGTTCCCTTCCTTCCTTCTGAACATTCTCCTGTTTCCTGCAGGGTTTTCATCCAGCCGTCCCCACCACCGAAAACAAAAGCCTGAAACTCACAAGGAAATTCACTTTTGCCCAATTTCTGCCAAATTTCACAGCGGACCAAAGAGCTGGGAAAAAACAAACGCAGTCAGAAGGTGAACGGCCTTCAGCCTGAACAGCTTCCTCCTTTTGCCCCATTTCCCCTTTTTTCATCCCGAATTTTGGGGAAGTGGAGGGCTGACGCTTCCCCTGGGGTCAGTGCTGGTCCCAAACGTTGCCCATTTTCTGCTATTCTCCTGCAGTTCTGTTCCCGCGACGGAGGGATGGCATTTTCAGAGCTGAAAGAAACGAAAACAGAACTGAACGTCCTGGAGCTGAGCGAAAACACAACCTCCCATCCCAACCCATCTCCTTATAAAACCCTTTTTAAGCTTTTTTTTTTTAATTATTATAATTTCTTAAAGACTGTTGGAAATATCCAAATAATTTATCAGGACGCTATCGCTGACAAAGCAGATTTTACTCACAGTTGCAACCTCCTGCAAGCAGGGGAGCCCCAAGAAAACACATTTACATCTTTTACACCCTCTTACTTGACACTTACCTCTTTCTCCCCTGGTTCCTCATTGGCTCAGTGCTTCAAGTTCACAATCTTCCCGACGCTCAACTAAACATCCAATATTGGAGAAACATAAATTTTTTGCTAGCTAAGCATAATTTTTTCTTATTTATATATCTAATTAATTAACTTCTCACATTTGCTCATTCGACGCTCGGTCATTTTTTATGGACATCTGCTCGTCCTTGCGTAGAGATAAGCTTGGAAGGAGGACAGAGGGGAATATCCTGATGCCTGCCTGTTGCATCCCAACCTACCTACAGAGCAAGGCAAGCCAGCCTCGTGTAGAGACCCTGCCTAATTTGATGTTTGTGAAGTCTGTTTTTCTTTTGCTGAGAGTCTCTTATCCAAACAGAACAGCCCTACAATCTGCTTTCTAGTCCATAATACTATACCTGTATATTTGGAACATTTAAAAACTATCGCAGTTCTGCAAGCAAGAATTAATCACACAACTCAGCAACGATATTTCTAAAGCCTGTTGCTAACATAGATGGCATTTCGACTTTTTCACACCAGCTATTTGTAAGGACAGACCCCACGACCCCATTTTAGGGCCTTTCAGATCCCATGACCCCGTTTTAGGGCTTTTCAGACCCCCCCCAAAAAACTGCCCCATTTTAGGACTTTTCATATCCCTCCCCAACTGCTCCCTTTTAGGGCTTTTCAGACCCCATGGCCCCATTTCAGAGCCCCTCAGATCCCACGGCCCCATTTTAGGGCCTTTCAGACCCCATGGCCCCATTTCAGGGCTTTTCAGACCCCATGGCCCCATTTTAGGGCCTTTCAGACCCCATGGCCCCATTTCAGGGCTTCTCAGACCCCATGGCCCCATTTTAGGGCCTTTCAGATCCACCACCCCCCCCAAAAAGTGCCCCATTTCGGGGCTTCTCAGACTCCATGGCCCCATTTCAGGGCCTTTCATACTCACCTCCCCCACCAGCCATCCCCTTTTAGGGCTTTTCAGCCCCATTTTAGGGCCTCTCAGACCCCATGGCCCCATTTCACGGCCTTTCATATCCTCTCTCTCCCCCCACAACTGCCCCCTTTTAGGGCCTTTCAGACCCCACAGCCCCATTTTAGGGTCTTTCATATCCACCCTCCCCAACTACAGCCTTTTAGAGCCTTTCAGACCCCACAGCCCCATT